CATCCAGCCCAGACTTCCTTAGCTTGCCTGCGAGAATGTTGTAAGAGACTCTATCAAAAGCCTTGCTAAAAATCAATAAATTTAGGATCCTTTGTATGGAATCCATGAGCATACTTCACATTTCTATAACATGTAGGCCTCTATGCAAGAAGGGAAAACTGTAAACATAACTACTTATAGTCTTGCAAAATAGTTTTTCCCCACAAGAAGTTTACAGGCTTACACATGGAACTCTAGATCTTTACTAGTAGGCACCAATACATCAACAATCTCCACTAAATTACCATGGAACCATTTTATTAAAGCTATCTTACACATCTGGCTTCCAAGTCACTTCTCAAAAGCTGTACTTGTAGCAAGTAACTGGCCACAGTTCATGAATTGAAGGAAGTGGACAACACTGAATGTTAAAGAGGGCCTAATTTACTTATTTAACTTACTGTGTGGAATTTGAAGATGTATACTAGGGTTGACACCTTTCCTCAGCTAGAAATTAGAGATGCACTTTTTTCCTGCAAATTCCATCATCTAATCTGGTAATTCTTCACTGTACAAGATTCCCTGTCCACTTCCCCATTTTCTAGAAGGAAGCCTAAACATTAAAAAAGACACGGATCCTTTTTAACACCGAAGTGTTCAGGTTTATAAACTAAACTGACTATACAAGTAAGGAGACATGGGGAGTAGAAGCACTACCTGTTTTATTGGACTGGCAGAGCCAAGTTCAGCTTCCTCCACCCCTTTCTGTGGACATGCTCCGAGGAACCAAAAAAGAGAGAATCTCATGTGCACCTGACTGCTTTGTTTGGGAGAAAGATAAGGAGGCCATACCTGTGCTTTACGGTACTGATTTTATATGGCAAGCTCATGTGTGTTACTGCAGTATTTTTAACTTCCTTCCAAAAGACTGTTAAATAAAGAGGTGTTCCAATTAAGACTTTCTGCCACGTTATTCTACCAGCCTGTATTGGCCCCCCTTGCTTTTTCAGCTTCAATAATATAGGTCTACAGGCAATACCTGTAGACTAGAAAGCTGTTCATAAGCAGGAACACTTGGAAGTATCCCAGGATTCTCACCTCATTTGTCAGCCTGCTTTTTGAGAGCAGTGTTGTGATAACTCAAGCCCCAAGTATAAAAAGGAAGTCACCAATCAAGCCATAAATTACACATCTAATAAAAATGCAAGAGGCCTCACACGACTCAAGGTATACAAGATAAACAGCACTCACAAGACACTATCCAAAAAAGTCAAACCTTTTCAAAACCTTAAAGTTACTTTATTCTGCATACATAGTTATCAGGTTAGAAAAAGAAAAATATGAATGCCTACTTTAAAAAAAAATTCAATGCTAATCTACAGTCCTCAGCTACTTCTGAACTTCCTTCCTAAACTAAGGTACAGGAATTACATGCGATAGGTACATGCTTCACTTTCCCAAATTTAAGAAAAGCAGCATGTACCTAACCTAAACCAAGGGACATTGTCAGCAGCTGCTCTGAGCTACAACAACAACACATCTTGCATGCATTTTTCCCAGCTCCAGAATGTACTTATCACAACAGACTAATTCAAAATCATAGGAATTAAAAGTGGCCAATTTTAATCTTCAGTGTTTTCAAACATATGATTTTACTAATGCTCTATGAATTACATCTGTGCACACTGTTGCTTAGCTAAGCAACAGAATACTTAAAAATACATTTGATACATACAATGCAACAATAGCACCAGAAAAGTTGCCTGCATTTAAATCCCTTTTTCAGAAGGCTCAAAATCCCTCAAGTATAGTGGACTAGATTTAAGACCAGTTAAGAAAGAAATCAATTGTCTGGCTTTTATCAATTTAAATTAAGTTACAGTTTCCAAGTGAAAGCACCTTGGGGCAGGCACTGTCTTTTATAGCAGTGACTGAAAAACTGTGAGCACCTAAATATAATATCACAAAACCTGTCTTAAATGACTGCTCACAATGCTGGCAGAAGTCAGTGGCTCAGACAAAGGTAGACTTCTAAAGAAAGAGAAGTAGGATTGCACTCATAGCATTTCAGGATGCTTTTGAGTGGTCAATGAATAGGAATGACTTCTTGAACAGGTTTTGTGCATTTAAAGTTCCTCTTTCAAGCTCAGAACAAGGGAGCTCTATGGCACAAGAGCCACATCTAAAGCACCGATCTCAAAAGAAACACATAACCCTTTCTCAACTGCCTCAGGGAGATTTTTTTCTATCCCTCTCCCCTTTGCCCCCACGCTACAGCTAAGCCAGAGGGGAATAGTCTTCTTTTACCACCTGTTATAGTTATTTCTTGAATTCAAGTGGTAGGAAGAATGCTGAAAGTTCTGGGTTCAAAGTTGGCTATAACTTACTTAGTTATATGTAACACAGTTTGCTCCTAGTTACCTACCAATGTTTTAGGAAGACATGAAAGTACATGCTAATGCACTAAAAGAATATTAAAGTTAAGAAGTCAAGAAATAAGAGAGAGTCAGGAAGTCTTACAAAACAGTGACCCAACCAGCACGGAGAAGCTTTAATACACTTTCCCACCAGACCCTCATTCATCAGCAGAGCATGGTGAGGAACTGAGATTGTTAGTGAATAAAGCTGCCATCCACCGGAGCCATACTAGAAGTAGCCCAGTTTCATCCTTGCCCACTGACAAATTAAATAGATGCTGGGCAAGTCACTCAAAACCATTTTCTTCTGGTGATCCAACTGATTCCCTTGTTTCCTAGGTGCCCAACTTGAGATAGGCAGATCTTCATTGCCAAGTACTTAACATATCACCCCAACCACTAGTGTTTCAAGAGAAGCTGTGAAGGCTCCATTCCTCTTAAAATCTTACGCCTGAAGTGCATTAAGCCAGGCACCCAAATTAGTGGGGTGTCTTATCACTAACTATAGCCTCTGATTTCTTTATATCTAGAAAACAAGGACAATTTCTCCCTGCCTCAAAAATGAAGGTAGCCTCATTAATGCTGGTGTTTCATACAGTAAACTGCCACAGAACAGCTCAAGAGGAACTGAATCCCCGATTAAGCACAGGATTTGGTTGGCAGGCAGTAAATGAGGCAAAGGGCATTATAAGTTGTGCCCAACTGCCTGGCTCCCCAAGCACAGCCCTTTCTGCACAATGAATGAGCTAGGGCTCTTGTGCAGAAAGATATATACCAGAATACAGTCTCAACTAAAATGGTGAATGCTAGAATAAACTCACAAAACGGGAGTGAAATTAAGAGTTCCAAAAGCAAACCTGGTCCTTGTATTTCCTAGTTTGACAGTTTGTCAAATACAAGATAAAACTTTATTTCTGTAGAAGAGTAAATAAGCATGTTAAATGCACAGCAAACAAGCAAGGCCCAAAGACATTAAAAAAAGGAAGTTTTGATAATGAGTAGTATTCTACTTTCAGACTAAATAGCACAACTCCTGAAACTGACACATCTCCATATATTTCTGTGTCTACTCCACAGAGAAGGCTCAACTACTTAAAAACTTTCATGTACTTTGTCACAGCCCTTCAACACAAAAAGCATCCAGCCACCTTAATGCCAAGATCATTTTACTTTCAAGCTGACTCACGCTCAAAGATGTAGTAAAATGCTTTATTATTTCTCTTAGAGATACGCTGATACATCGGTCCATATCGTACTGGCACCGAAAAAAAATGTTGATTTTATCAGCAAATCGGCTTTTTTTTGGCTGATGTGGCTGATAATGTTGCTGATAAATGCCACGTGCACATGGCCAACCTGGCAGCCTCCAGCTGGTAAGTCTGCTGGGGGTTAAGGGGTGGCGGCAGGGAGGGAAGGGGGCAGATCCAAGCCACTGGCATGAAGGAGGGAGTGTGGCTGGGGCGGGGTACAAGACGGAGCCACAAGCAGCTCATGGGGGGGGAGGAAGAGGGCAGCTCCCACCACTGCACACACCCCCAGAGGCAGCACTGGAGTGCACGTGCCCCCCAGATCTATGCAGGGGGTGAAGGCAGGCTGCCACTGCAAGCTGGGACCAGGGCAG